TGTGAAAAAGTAAAGTCGGAATTTGTATGCTCTGACCCTTAGGTATTTGCTTCCAGATGGGCTTGCGTTGCCTGCCTGCAACCGCGGCATGTGCACTGGCTTACATGCCGGAGCTTCAGTCTGGGGTGGGGTTCAATACACTGTTACAAACCAAGCCTACATCCATCGACCTAGGGACTTAACAAAATATTTAGTCTTGCACAGTAAGGAAAGCTACCACCAAGCCTAATTACTACCATCCACCTATGTATGCCTAAAATACCCCAAGCTGTGTAGAACGTTCGTACGTTTGCGCGCTGCTCTTTACCCACCCTATCATGGCTTTAAAGGTATTCAAAGTAAAATAAAAGCCCCATCGGACCACCTACACTTCCTTCGAAATTAGACCATTAAGTTTACTCTATATAATCATTATGATAACCCTTTATTATTTAAATTCAACTCAACTTTTTTTTCTTTCGTTGTGAGCGGACGTGTTTTCACTGTGTCGTGGGGTGCGCGCATTTGATAATACGTTTTCTTATACATATTTAATAACTCTATTATTTACAATGTTTTGCCCAAAATGCAATGAAAAAGTTGATCGCTCCGGCGTTCCTAAAATTGCGTGTGGTGACTGTGGTATCTATTTTCATGCCGCTTGTGCAAGGGTTACTGTTGCTGATTTGGATTACATGAAGGCGAATAACATCAAACATCGATGTGATCCATGCAATGTTTTGCGCCGGCAATCTCTACATCTGCAGCCATTGCCGGGCGCTGCTTCTGGAGTTACAGCGGATGGTGCTGCTGCGTCTGGATCGATGCTAACTCCACAAGCAGCCAACAAATCCTCAACAGCGTCACAGAGCAGACCAAGGCAAGCCACCAACAACGGCCAAAAACAACAACCACAAAATTCAACGAACAAAACCAGCGATGATGCTCATAAAAATGCTAATGAGCAAAGCAGTGTGCAAAGAGACGACAACACCAACGCAAATAAAACGGAATCTAACCAGCGCCCTCAGCATGGCCAAGTTAAAAGTGATAGTGTGACAAAGGAGATAAATTTGCAGTTGCTCTATGATGAAATTCTGAGTCTGAAGAAACTAAACTCTGATTTCCTAAACGTAGTAACGGAGCTTAAAGAGGAAAACTTGAAACTGAGCGAGAGAGTGTGCAAACTCGAAAGTGTATTGAACTGGCGAGAACAGCAACTTTTAAGCAGCGCAGTCGACTTTGATGGTGTGCCGGAGCTAACAAGTAAAAAAAATGCGAATGAGTGCGCAAAACAAATTTTAGGCACTGCTTTAAACCTACCTGACTCTTCGAAAGAGATAAGCAGATGCTATGTTAAAAAGTTTAAGCGAACAAGTGTGCTCCGTGTTCACTTTTCATCGATTGAAGCCAAGCAAAGAGTGATGGTCCAGAAACGTAAAGCAAAGGGTAAATTGACGACTCATATTTTTGGTGATGCTAGCGGAAACAAAAACAACATCTACATAAACGACAGTCTCACTAGCTACAACCGAGCTTTGCTTACAGTGGCGAAGAAAACAAAAAAAGAGAAACATTACAAGTTTCTGTGGGTGAAAAATGGAAGAATTTTGTTAAAAAAGTCTGATGGTGGCGAAGTTGTTTTTTTAAAAACTTTTGACGATTTGTCAAAAGTCAAGTAGTAGTAATTATTATTATTAATTTAAATTTTGTATAATGTTTTTTAGAAATTTTTTAGATAAAAACAACTACGCCGCAGTCAAATTCGAATTTTTTATTTAATTTAAATAACTCTTTTACGGTAATTCACCAAAATATACGAAGTCTTCGGCAAAATTTTGATTTATTGCTCTGCAATCTAGAGGTGTTTAAAAACCCTCCGGATTTAATTTTTGTTTCCGAAATCTGGATATACTCTAATGAAACCTGTGATTTTACAATACCTGGTTATAATTTTTTTTGCAAACACTAATGACTCTTATTCTGCAGGTGGTGTTGGAGTTTTTGTGCGTAGCAGTTACGAATGTGATTTTATTAATTATAACGTCACTAGCGCGGATATTTTAAAAGTTACATTAAGTATCTCCAAAAGGCTTTTTAGTTTTATGTGTGTTTATAGACTGCATGCGGTCTGTGTTCAAACGTTTTTGGAAGAGTTTTCAGGTCTTCTTTGTAGGGAAAATTCTGGCAATATTGCTATATTAGGAGATTTTAATTTAGATATACTAAACCTAAATGCTACAACAGATAGTTACCTTACCCTTATGGCGAATCATGGCCAAAAATCATACTTAAGCGAACCAACTCGTATTATTTCTGGAAGTTGCCTTGATCACATTTTCTGTCGGAGTAGTTCTGATACTAACTTTAATAGCCTAAACGTTGATTTAAATATTACAGACCATACCATGACAGGTTTAATAATAAATAATGTTAGCAAAAACAGCAATAGTTCAAATGAGGTTAATTCTAACTTTAACAAAATAAATTTCGGTTTGCTTAACCCACGGTTACGGTTTGAATCTTGGGACGTAGTATATACGGAGGGAAATGTATCACATGCTTACAATATGTTTTTAAACATTCTGCAAGGTCACATTAAGGCTGCAAGTTTTCCTTATAACCAAGGTAGGAAGCAATCAAAAATCAAACCCTGGATTAGCAATGAGCTGGTGAAAAAAATTCGTCTAAAAAATAAATTAGGTACAAAGAGTCATAAGCACCCGTACAATGCTAACCTTCGTAGCCGATATCTGAAGCTATGCAGGGACTTGAGAAAAGAAGTCCGTTTGGCGCGAGATACGTATTATCGTAACGCGTTAAGGTCCTCGTATGGTAACTCAAAAAAAGAATGGGATATCGTTAACAGTCTTCTTAATCGCAAGAGCAAAACAAATAATAAAGAAATTCGTTTATGTGATAGTGGAGAGATTTTCGATGACACCGAAGTAATAGCAAATATTTTTAATGACCATTTCTCGTCAGTCGGGCAATCTGATTGTTCCGCACATTCGTGTGAATCTTTTTCCTCAATATCTGCACCTACAAATGAAGGTGACAGTTTTTTCTTTGAAACCTTTAGTGGCATTGAAGTCCTAAGAGCCATCTCTGAATAACTCCAGATCGTGTGGTTCTGATGGAATTTCCAATCAAGTTATAAAAAACGTTGCTTTTAACTTAGTTTATGTTTTAACACATCTTTTTAATTCTAGTGTCTTGTCTGGAACCTGTCCTGCTGATTTGAAATGTGCTCTTGTGATCCCTTTATTTAAAAAGGGCGACAAAAAAGATGTGAATAATTATAGGCCAATCTCTCTACTCACCTCTATTTCTAAAGTTTTTGAGAAACTAGTTAAATGCAGAATTCTTTCTTTTCTTGAAAATAAGAACTTCTTTAGCCCTATGCAATATGGATTCAGAAATGGGCGGTCAACAGAAGATGCCCTGTTGGATTTTTGTTCCTTTTTATATAGGGAAATTGACAACAAAAAGAACTGTGCTGGATTGTTCGTTGATATAACGAAAGCGTTTGATATGGTAGACCACAAAATTTTACTTCATAAATTGTTTTCCGCTGGCTTCCGTGGTTTTTTCTATAATTGGTTAGAATCTTACTTATCGGGGAGAGTGCAGCAAGTAAAGGTTGGTAGCAGTTTAAGTAATCCTGTTACAATCAAGTTAGGAGTACCTCAAGGATCTGTTTTGGGCCCAATATTATTTTTGGTATATCTGAACTCGATCTTTTCTTTACCATTTTTTTGGAAAAGTTACGGCTTTCGCAGACGACCTGGCCATTGCGTATGGTTCATCGAACTATCTGGATTTGGTAGCTGGCGTAAATAATGATGTACATTTGCTAAGGGCATGGTTTGCTGAACATAAGCTTATTGTTAGCAAGAAAACTAAGATAATGTATTTCAATCTACATCCAAAAAATGTCACCTGAAATAGCCATAGTATTTCATGCCGCTGACTGCAAGCGCTACGCTCTAAATGCTATGCTGTGTTCAGAAACATCATTTAGTTTTGATAAGGACTGTTGTGAAAAGTGTTTCTCTATTGAAGAAGTCAGCGACTTTCAGTACCTGGGTGTTTCTGCTGACAATAACTTAAGTTGGTCTACTCATATATCTCGTTTAAAGTCCTACATGCGATGTACCGTTCGTTACTTTTATAGCTTGAGAAAGATTTGCTCAAACGCAACTCTTAAAACTATTTACTACGCGTTGGTCCACTCAAAGCTAGACTATGGTATAAGCTATTGGGGAGGTACATCTTATAGTAGAATCCACCAGCTTCTAACTATTCAAAAATGTGTCATAAGGAAAATATCGAATGCAAATCGTCTTCATCACACCATCGACCTGTTTAGAAACCTGAAAATTCTTCCCGTAAAGCATATGTACTACTACAAGGCTTTAAAGATATTTTTCGTTCGCTGTGGTTATTTGCATAGTCTGATCTCGGATAGCTACAATTTAAGGCAAAACTCACACGGACTTATTTATGTTCCCACATCTCGCACAACTCACTTCAGTAACTTCTTCAGTATTGTTTCTTGCAAGGCTTTCAATGCGCTACCTGGTTCTATACGAGTCATTAGAAATTTGCGTACATTTTTATTAAAGGTTAAATCATTTTTATTAGAACAATCACACGACGACATCAAAATTTTGCTGAACCCTACAACTTAGTAAACTTGAACTAAATATGTAATCTCATGAGCATGTACACCGCTTTTTCATAAACCAACTTAATTAAATTTAAATTTATCTTACAATGTATAGTTTATTCTGAATTTCACCCCACACACTTTTGTTAATGTGCATTAAATTCCTCTTGAGACGGCATTCGATACTAAAATATTAATACTTTTTACAGAATGCCTTACTTTTTCTTTCTTTTAATATTTTATTATAATTTATGTTAAGTTAATATTGTAATTTACATACATATGTTTATTTTGAAAGAAAAATGAATAAATCAATCAATCAATCAATCATAATATATAAGGCTATATTACGTATATAACAATCTTAATACTAGAAATTCTTAAATGATTGGAATTCAAATTTATCGACCTAGGTTAATTTAATTACTAAATTTTTTCTTTGGTTCTAGTTTAAGCTAAATACCCTAACCTACCTCAACTATGTATATACATGGTTACATGTATTTATGTGGTCATTGACCCGGAGAGATTTATAGGTCACTCAAAAATTCTCTGTGCAAACGTAAATAAGTGCATATACAGATTTACATGCAATCAAGGTATGAACATATGTAAATTTAACCAAAATCGAGAACCGAGAATAGTAAAAAAAAAAATAACAGGAGAAGTTGGATTCACATGTTGCTATATATGAATATATATATATATATATTAGGGCGGGTCAATTTGTATGGATTGATTTTTTTCGACATTGTTCCTAGCATATTCGGATTCTTCATAAAATTCTAAGAAAAAAATTCCCCTAGACCACAGCTCTAAAATCAATTTCGAGCCTGCGCATTGTTAAAAGAAGATATCTTATATACAAAAATGAATTGCTGCCGTTAGCCTCGCTAAGACTCGAAAACGGCTTGACCGATTTGAATATTTTTATTTTTTTTGGTTTGTTTTTTATGATATACGGATGGTTAAAACGAGAAAAAAATAGACAGTTGCCACCTGTTTAAAAATTCAGTATAAGAAAATTAATGACATAAACTAGATATTGCATATCTAGTCAAAATATGGGTGTCAAAAGAAAGAGGTTATGAAGGCTTACAGGCGAAAATATTTTTGAGTCGAGTTGCCACCGATTTCGAAAATTTAATTCAGTAAAGTTAATAAGATAATGTATGTATAATAATATAGGTGTCAATCAAAAAGTATTTGAAAAATTATTGATTCAGAAATATTTTCTATAGGCCTGTCACCTACCTGAGCGGTAAAAACTAAAAGCCATACTCACAATTATTATTCAAACTTTTGAGGCTCGCATCAATGTAGAATACTGTAACTCCGTCAGGGTAGTGTTTATTGATGGCAAACAAAATACTGTCATGTTTGGCAATGATATCACCCCGTCGAACAATGCACTAAGCCTCGATATAAAAAGAGAACAAAAGCCGAAGTTTTAGCCGAAGCAGTTCATACTAACAAAAAAATATGGCCTACGACTCTTTTATAGAAGCTGTGGACACTGGAGTAAATTTTAAACAAAAAACAAAACCAACTTCAATTCTCATATACAAATTTAAGAGTACCGTTATTTTCTTTA